ACTTTCAAGACATGACATTTCCCTCAGTGAGTTAGGTGGACAGTTGCACGTCCTGGAAGTCTCGCTGCTTCTCCCACAAGCTGTGCCTGCCTTATACCCAGTGGTGCACTCACCGCCAGGGGCCAGTCTTGTGTGGGCGCAGACAGTGCCCTGGGTTCTTCAATTATTTGAGAAGATCCTTTCAAGTTGGAGTTTCTTGGGCTGATCTTTTGCTTTTTCTGTTCTTTCCCTTTGCCAGGATTGATGTATCTCAGAATGATCTTCCTTGGGAATTTATGGTTGACCGTCTTCCGACTGTCTTATTTTTTCCCTGTAACAGGTAAAGCTGAAGTTTTTCAATATTTGGGCAGATGGGATTCTTTTGCTGAACATGAAATGGGTTTAAGGTACTTCACAGAAGTGAAGTGTACATCATTACTTATTACTAAAGTATTTAGAATAAAATGTTCAAAAAATGTGCCACTGGGAACCAAGGGTAAAAGGACTTTGGTGTCATGATGTCAGGTGTGGTAGTTTTTTTAAGTTTGCCCCCTCCCAGAGTGTGTTTTACACGAGTATGAATGTGGCCATTGGAACTTGTTCACCTTCTTGGCCTTATGAGCACACAGTGAGTGCTGAGATTGACAGCAAAGAGCCCCAGGTTCACGTGGGGCAAAACAACAGCTTACTGTTGGGCCTCACAGGGAGTCAGGCCCGGCCTGCCCGCTTCTACATGAGTCATTTGTCATTGAGCCCTGCGGATGGCCACCTCGGCCCCCTGGTACAAGGAGGAAACAGAGGCCCTTCTACCCACTGCACCCGCATACTGGGGCTCAAGAAGCCTTCTCCCCAGGTGTGCAGACTTCTGTGAATGTCACCTGACGGGGCTGTCACCTTGATCTCTTCACATTTGTCTAAGTGGTGCTCCAAGGTGAGTGATCAGGGCAGCTTCCCTGAAAGCCCAGCGAGCAGGGATGGGCCGTTAGCAAGGGGATGTGACCTGGCAGTTAGCGAATGTGGATCCAGATGTTTTGGTAGAAGGGAAATTAACTCTTGGCCTTTTAAAGCCTGATAAACCAGATGTTCTCTTGGTACAGATTCCTGTTTGTTTTTAAAAGGATGGGTCCTCAGGGACCCAGTCACATGGCTTTGACAATATCTTTATAGGGAAAAGCATTTGCAGGATGATTTTAGTGACGTTCCCTAACTCACATGTCTTTTATTCTCTGGCGCTCGCTTTTACCGTTTATTGCAGCCACTGCCATGCTCTTCATGCTTCTCTAGGAGAGTGCTTCCTTCATGTGTACTGAATCATTTCCTTGGTTTTTTCCCCCTTATCTCAAAGAATTTTTGCTGGAATACTTCCTGTGGTAGTAGGGTCTTGTCAAATCACACACTAAAAACAGAGTGTGACTCACCCAGTTCTACTGCTGACTGTATTGTGACGAGCCTTTTTCTTTTTAAGAAGTGTCTCAGGCAGGTGCCACACGGTCCAGGAACCGTGGACAATAACACAAGTAATTTCATTGTGTGTGGGACAGAGGTGGGGCATGAAGTTTAACACACCATAATTTTCAAATTTCAATCATAGTTGGAAAAAACATTGACGTCGTAACACCCAGCACATGCCTTTGCACAAAGAGGTTCTCAGCAGCTGGAATTGTTTCGCGTTTGGGTTGAGTGCCTTTCATTCTGAGGTTGCCTGATGGAGTCAGCATAGAGATGAGCTCATTTTCCATGCCCTGCAGGAAGGTCGCTGCTACAGCCTCTTCCTAGTTCCCTTGTATTGAAAAGTCAAGAAAGTAAATACTGAATAGTAGACTGTCCAGTTCCATTCTAATGCAGAGAACTTGGTAAACCAAAGCCTTACTGCTTTGGAATGGAATTTTTCTTATTTCCTAAAAATAAATGGTAATCAGAAGTGAAGCAAGCTCTTCATTAACTGGTCTAAAGTGAGTGTTCAGTTCACTCAGAAGGTAAAGGGCAAAAAGCTGACAGCTCACAAAAGAGGAAACGAAAAACTGATAACAAGCAGTAAGACCTTCTTCACAGGGCACATGCTTATTTTTAGTGAAAAGAATATAAAAGTATATATGCGTTTTGGTAAAATATAAATTTACACATGCACTGGGTTAAAATGTGTGCAGAAGGGAAGGTGTCAAGATGTTGACGATAATTTTGGAGGAGTGAAGGTTACCAGTGGTCACAGGGGTGCCTCTTGTATGCTTTTTATATCCTTTGCAAATTGTACTCAGTGAGCACGTTGTTTGTATTTTATGATCATGAAAGAAACCATAGGAAGGAGCTTGTCCTCTGCCACAGTGCACAGCCTGGACTACCTCCTGCTCCCAGCAAGGCTGCCTTCTTGTGCAGGGGCACCTTAGAACCACTCTTCTTCTCCCACTCTGTGTGACGTTCCAAAATGCAGGTGCTCTGGCCCGGCCCTGGGCCAGGAGATCAGAAGTGGGTGGGGGGTTCATTCTGATGTGTCCCCTGGGGAAGAACCTCACTTCTTTAGAGGAGCAGCCCCCCCTCCCTCAGTATTATAGCCCCTCTTTGGAGCAGATAACTTGTACCCCATTGGTCATTTTGTATTTAGCCTTTTACACGCTAGAGGTGCGTACACATACTCCTGGTGAACTTAGACCAGAGTCACATAAACAGTGGGACCTTTTACCACTACACTTTCAAAATGATTACCATTTTGGAAGCAGTTTGTTGACGCTCTGTATCCTTGCTACTTCTAAGAAGTTTGAAAGCATTTTAGCACACCCATCAGGTAGGTTCATGGAGATTGCTCCAGAAACTCTAAAATAGCATGTTTACCAGTATCGTTTTCTGTCCTATAAATGTCTCCAGATACACGCACTAAGCTCTTTGCTGGGGATGATTCACATTTGCTCTGTCCTAGAAGACCAGGTTGTGTTGCAGAACTTAGGGGTGGATCCAGCCTCTGCTTGTCCATCCTCACCCACACTTCACAGGGGCCAGGATGTTCTTAGTTGTCAGTTGAATGACTGGGAGGCCCCACTTGGAGAAAGCGTACATGTTAAGAAAACGATGCTTTAAAGGAAAACGTGGTTATATACTTACCCCCAAAGTTTAAAAATTGTTCCATTTACCTGAAAGTTTCCATAAACATATAAAATGGGACATACCTGACTTTAATTTCCCTGTGATTTTTATTTCATAGGGAAAGGGCTACTCTTTGATAGAACACCTTTTGTCTTTTCTTAGGTGTTTGGCCACTGGCTTTGTGTGTGGAGAGGGTGTGCAAGCTCTTAATGAGGGATTTCTGGTCAGAACAATGTGGTTGGTTTTTTTTTTTTTTTTCAAGCTAACATTCCCTGAGCCTTCAGGTAACTCATGCAGTCCTTACAGCAGTCCTCTGAGGTAGATGAGACTCATATTCCCCCCTTTACAGACAAGGCAGTGCAGGCCACAGAGGAGTCCTGTGAGGCCCCAGAGGCGGGTGGGCCCCGGAGTCGTGCCCTTCACCTCCACTCCTTTAACACTGGATGGTGTCTGCCCCCCTCATGCTAAAGCTGCTGGTTTGGATTTATTGCAGCCAGGTGGTGTATACACAGGTAAATGTATCTGTGGTAGAAATTTTGGTCATCAGACAATTGGATGACAAGTTCTAAAAAGGAAATTTGTACATCAGGACTTGCAGCAAAGCTTTGGGGAAAATCCCCTTCATATGTCACCCTCCTTCCTTATTCTCTGCTCTCAGGGCCCGGCAACCTTAATTCCTCAGAGCCCCTTGGTCTGTTTGTCAAGGGTGGGGCTCCAGTAGCACCTCCACCATCGTGACAATAAAATGTGTCTCCAGATGTTGCCCAGTGTCCCCTGGGGAAGGGAGGGTACAGTTACCCCAGTTGAGAACTCTTGCCTCGGATAATGTGTAATAAATGCTTGCTGAAGAGCCAGGCTGAGTGTTGGAGGTTTTTCCTATCTCGTCAAGCATTGTCGATGGCCACAATAGTGACATGGGTGGCAGTCCTGCCCACGGACACCCTTCCTGACGCGCCACTGGGCATCTGAGAGCACAGGGAGGCCGCTCTGCCCTGAGTTCTTATCTTTCTTGGAAGGTTGTGAACAGAAACTGAGCTCTTTGTCCTCAGGAACAGACACACCTTTGAGATAAACCACCTTAATTACAGAAGCAGCATATGGGACATCCTCAGCTTTGTAGAAATTTTTTTGCCAGATGACATTTTCCATGCTGACTTCCTTTTGGTAGGAAATAAGCAGCTTGACCTTCGGCGGCAGTCTGGTTTTGGACTAAGAATGTTGGTGTGACTCTCCTATCTTTGACTCCTTTCCCTTTCTCTCCAGAAAGGACCTAAGTGTGAAATACCCCGAAGACCTTCCCATCACCCTTCCAAATCTGCTGAGGTTCATTTTGCATCACTCAGACCCTGCTTCTGCCCCCCAGAACTTGGTTAACCCTCCTACCAAAGAGTGTCTTCAGAGAGAGGCCGTCCTGCAGCAGGGGCACATCTCCCATCTGGAGAGAGAGATCCAGAAGCTGAGGGCGGAGATCAGCGCCCTGCAGCAGGCGCAGGGGCAGGTGGAGGCCCGGCTCTCGAGCGCGCGTAGGGATGAGCAGCAGCTGCGGCGGCAGCAGCACACGCTGGAGAGGCAGCACAGCCTGCTCCAGCTGCACAGCGAGCAGCTGCAGGCCCTGTACGAGCAGAAAACCCGGGAGCTTGAGGAGGTGGCCCGCAAGCTCCAGGAGCTGGCCGACGCCTCGGAGAACCTCCTCACCGAGAACACGTGGCTCAAGATCCTGGTGGCCACCATGGAGCAGAAACTGGAGGGCAGGGACGGGGCCGAAGACCGTGCTCCCCTGGATGAGGTGCGATTGGACTACCACAAGCCCTCGGGCACCCCCCGGCTACCAGCCAGCACCCCTCCGCCTTCCAACGTCAGCTCCACGCTGGCCTCCGAAAGGAGCACTGAGAACAGGACAGACTAACTTTGAAAATAACATGAAGAAATCAGAGGTGAAGACTATACATTGCGAATATATTTATGCAAATTTTATTGAAATTTATTGTAAATAAAGATTTTCTCAGTGGTCTAGAAAATCAGCTTGAATGTCATTCAGCTTTTATTGAACAGGGATGACATCCCCTCCACTTATTGCACAAACTTGGTAGCTTTGAGACAAAAACAGTAGCACAGTCCACTTGAAGATTTGTCTGAAAAGTTAGTCCATATTTTAGTGGCTCAGCGTCGGCGTTCCCTCCCCATCCCCCTGCTGTTGCTTCTGCGATGACATGCAGAATGAAAGGCTAATGTCCTGACTGACTAGTCAGAAAACTTGGACACAACAGTTGGGCTATTCAGAAAGAATTCAATGAGAGGTCATAACTTAACTAAGCCATTTGAGTGTGTGGCTCTGGTGTCTATGCTAAAAAAAAGTAGCTGTTGACCAAGAACAGTGAGAGCTGTTATGTGGTTGGTCACCAGTTCTGCAGGCACTTCCACTTGCCTCCAGAGACCCCACTAGTGCCCCACCATGCCCTTGACCCTCACCTGGCACTGACACCGTGCTGATGGGCCTGATGCAAATGGCACAGATGTCGTGGGATAAGGAACATCCAGGACTGAAACTGAGGAGAAAGTGATGCCTCATCTTTTCAAAACCGAAACTGCACCGGCCATGGTAAGAAGCTCAGGGTGAGTTTGACAGTCAAGCAATGGTCATTTTCAGGGTCAGGCTCAGGGACTGAAAATGCAAGGCCCGGGAGCTCCTCGGTTACTTGGGTAAAGGACAGACAGCCTTAGGTGCAGGCTGCCGGCTGCAGAAAGTAGAGGTAGAAAGCCTGAAGTTCTGAAATGTGAGGGGAATGGATCGAACACCCCTACACCTGCCCCATTTTTCTTATGTCCTTCATTAGGAAACACACCTTCTCCCTGACCTTCCAGTTGACCCCTTTAGAACTTCTGACCCCTCCTCCCACCCACACCCTGTGTGCTGCTTACAGGGCCTTCTGCTAGTCTCCAGCCTGACTCATGCTTGGCCATCCCCAGGTGGGGGCCAAAGGCATTTCCTCCCCTGTACTAAAGCCCGGCTGCCTCCTAAGGATTCCTTAGTAGCCCACCTGTGCTGTCTCAATCCTGCCTTCAGCTCAAATGGCCTAACTAGCTACTCCTCCCCTCCCCCCAAGCTATACACCTTAATGTTTGACCGTTAATTTAGGGGTACGCCGCTAAAAGGAGTGTTCCTTAAGCTCCCTACTAGGGGTTCTAGAAAGTTGATTAGTTCAACATGCTTTTTAGAGGAGATTTGGATGAGGCCAGAGGAGCCGCCTTCCGCCCGACCAGGAGGCCAGAGCTTTGAGGGGGAGCTGGGAATAGGGGGCAGCCCCTGGCGACCTGGGAGCTCCCTGCCCATGCTGCTGGCAAGGCAGCTCAAGTGCTGAGGGCCAGCGCTCCCCAGCTCACCCAGAGCTGGCCTCCAGTTTATTCCCGAGGATGCAGACACAAATCACATTTTAATCATGATAGTTTAGGGTGTGCTTACAGTGGTGGGATTAAAAACCTAAGCAAGTTCACTGAAGTATACACAAGGGACATCTCGGAGGGGCAGGGTGGGAATCACTGGCCTGACCAAGAGCCACCAAACTCCTCACCTTTTCGAAAACCAAATCCTGAACCTGAAACTCCCTCTTCCCCCAGCCCCCTCCCCTGGGTGCCCACTAAGCACAGGCTGCTGGGGGCTCCTGTGTGCACAGGCACACAAGAAGTGACACTTGGTGCTCTCAGAGTAAGGTCAGGGGACCCTCCTAGGTGGCCCACCTAGGAGGTGGAAAATGAAATCCAGGACCCAGCAGGTGGGTGGGAATCTGGGAGGAAAGGAAGCGAATTTGTGAAAAGGGCAGGGGGAAGAAACCAAGCACCCCCCACCACCCCCTCCAGTGCAGAAGATATTAAATACAACAACAAACAAAAACCACAATGTTCTGTCCTTCCTGGGCCAACTGGGTTTGGGATTCAGGTAGCCACCGCGGCTCTGGTGTTTCTAGCGAAGCCTGTGCTCAGTAAAGCTGGGTGGGGGGCAGGGTGCTCAGCATGCTCAAGACCACGGGGGCCAGAAACTGCTCGGCCACTAGGACGCCTGGCAGCCTTGGGACTCGGGCCTCGGGCCCTGACTCGTCCTTCACCGGCTCCCAAGCAGCTGCAGTAGCTTCCTTGCAATCACTCCACTAGCAACAGGAACTGGCATTTACAACCTCATCTACCTAGAGCAGGAGAGGGCGGGACGTGCTGCTGCTCCCATTCATTGCTCACAAAGCAGAAATCGCCAAAGCACCCCAACAGGTTAGCTGCGAGACTTAAAGCCGACGTGTCACGTTCTCTACATACACACGTGTATCTGAGGCCCCCGCCAAGTGCAATGTGGGCCTTACAAGTCTAAGACCCCCCCCTCCCGCCTTGACTCAGCTCAGCGTTAGTACGGACAGTCCCATGTGCTCTATATTTTTAAAAAAATCAGCAAGAGAGGCTTAAGCACGTGCTTCTGGGGCCTATTTACAGTTCACAGGCTTGTGAGCTCACGCGTTACAGTAGTAGCTCCATCAAAAACAGGCTCAGCTAAACATTCAAGTAACAAAAGCGCTGTGGGGCCGTGAGCCCCAGCAAGGTCAGGCCTGCCCACTGCCTGCAATGGGCAGTCCTACCAGGAGGCTGAGGGGTTGCCCAGTGCCACTGAGCCCTGGCTCAGGACCGCCGGGACCCCAGGAGTCGGTGCATGCGATGACGAAGTCCGGTGAGGCCATGCCAGCAAGCGTCAATCCTTCCTCTCAGATGGTAGCACGTCTGTGGTTTCGCCCCTACTGCGCCTCTTGGCTGGCGGCAGACAGGTCCAGGAGCCTCCGCATCCCGGCTCAGCCGTGGACTTCAGGGCCGTTGGGGGTCAGCTTGGCCTTCCTCTCCACGCACGGTCCCTTGGCCGAGTACTGCACTAGCAGGAAGGGCTCCTTGGTCTCGCCATCCCCCACGATGCTCTCCTCGTCCTCTGACTGGCTGATGCGCTGCAGCCGCAGGTAGCACCAGCAGCCCAGGATCAAGGCCCCCAGGGCAGCGATGGCGATGAGGATGACGATAACCGTGACCACACCGGTGGTGGGGCTGTGGTCCATGATGGACATGGTTAGCGCTTGAGCGGGGGGGGGGCCCTCTGCAGGAAGGTCTTGGTGGGGACAGCTCAGTGAGGCTGGAACCCAGGCTGGACACGAGAGCCCTGAAAGAAAGAGCAAGATGAGGCTACACTGGGGACTCCGCTGGGGACCCTGACAGCTCACACGCTCGGGCTTGCTGTTCCATGGGGTCTATTTTTAATCAGTTCTTAAGCCTGACCGTCCTGCCCGCATCCTAGTGAGAAACAGACTGGTTGGCATTTGCTGGGTGTTTTTGTTTACGATGCTACCAGCGTTCTCCTCACTCAACCCAGCCACTTCCATTTAATACCTTCAGTGCCTCTGCTACCAGACAGGCAGTCATCCTCGCTCAGCCAGGAACCTGACAGGTTTCTCAGGAACCTGAGAGGGGGCACCCGAGACCTCCATCACCACTGCAGCAGAGGCTGAAAGAGGGTCTGTTTAAGGTGAATGTTCTAGAAGTCCAGCACCACTAGGTGTTCAGTAACTGCTCACAGATTGAAAGTGCTTCAAGGACTTCCCTGGTGGCGCAGTGGTTAAGAATCCGCCTGCCAATGCGGGGACACGGGTTCGAGCCCTGGTCTGGGAAGATCCCACATGCCGCAGAGCAACTAAGCCTGTGCGCCGCAACTACTGAGCCTGCACTCTAGAGCCCGCGAGCCACAACTACTGAAGCCCGTGCGCCTAGAGCCCATGCTCCGCAACATGAGAAGCCACCGCGATGAGAAGCCCGCGTACCGCACCGAAGAGTAGCCCCCGCTCGCCACAACTAGCGAAAGCCTGTGCGCAGCAACGAAGACCCAATGCAGCCAAAAATAAATAAATTAAAATAATAATAATAAAGTGCTTCAAGACGGCCAGAGATGAGGGATTCAAAAGCAGGGAAATGGACATACATGGCTCAACGAGTCTTCAGGAGCACCTGTGAGAGAGTGCAGCCGACAACAGCCTTTGCCCACAAAGAAGCTGTAGCTGACCTGGCTCTGGAAAAACTTAGGGGAGGGCAGGGGAGAGTGGGACAGACCAGCCTCTGCCGGCGTCTTGGTGCAGGAGCCAGACCGCAAACGGATCAATATGCCAAACACCTGTCGCTACAAATGCAGGAATGTAACGCTGGGAACATAGGGGACCAGATGCCTTGATGCTAAACTGGGCGGGACAGGCAAAACTCAGGGAGGTGATGCTGATGCCGAGATGTGCGGGAAAGCCAGACCCTGAAGAGCTTCCCGGCAGGGGAACACTGTCTGCTAAGGCTCTGAAGGCAGGAGGGCCCACTGGCAAGTGCGAGGAGTGGCTGCAGCTGGAGATCAGCTGGTTTGGGTGGCGGCGGGGAGGGGTGTACATGCCCCAAGGCCCAGACAGCAACAACCCACTGAGGTTGGAGGTGGTGGCACCCCTGGGTGCCAAGACCTTGCACTTTTAAAATTTCTCCTGCCTGACCGTAAACGGAGCAAGTAATAGTAACTAACACCCAGGTGGTTACGAGGATGCCTGCAACGCCTGGGCACAGGGTGGGCAGAGTCGATGCTCAGCTGTCTGAATCTAGTTTTTCTGGAGAAGACAGACATCAGTGCAGGTAGACATCATTGGAAGCGGAAGGTTTTCCCTCCAGACAGGATGGAACCTGCCCTCCTTGAGCAATGACAGCCTTAATTAGAAATGATTCTTATCCACACCAGGGAGCCCTCCACCCCCACCCCAAGGCCAGGTTCGCCTGAAGGTCAAAGGCAGCTAAGTCAACGCCCCTGAGTCTTTCCGGGGACCGGGCCCTGAGAAAACCCTACAGACCCCCAGAACTGCCCTGCTCCCACGCCCACCTGTGCAGAGGGGTCCTAGTCGGGGGTGGGGGGCGACATCCCTGGAGTCTTCCCCCTTCTTACTGCCCCCAGGGTCAAGCCGCTGCCATCACTCTCAACAGGCTCCCTGGTCCACCTGTGGGGGCCATTGCAGCCAGTGCCCCTGTCACTCAGAGGAAAGATCCCAAGTCCCTACAGTGACCTACGGGACCTGATGAAGCATCTCCACCCCTGCTCCTCTCCTGCTGACCCCATGCTCCTTCCTGCCTGCAGACCTTTGCCCAGCCAGGTCCCTCTGCCCAAATGCTCTGCTCTCCTTACCCTTGTGCAGTGGTTCTCAAGTGGGGGCAACCGTGCCCCCCAGGGGACATGTGGCAACGTCTGGAGACATTTTTGATTATAACAGCTGGTGTGTGTGTAGGTGCTACTGGTATCAAGTGGATGGAGACCAGGGATGCTGGTAAACCTCTCACATGGCATGGGACAGCTCCCCAAAGACCCCAGACAAACATCAACATGTGGAGGCTGCCCTGGTTAACTCCAGCTCAGGCTGGGAGCCTTCCTGACCCCGCGGTCCAGGAAGTCCTCTTCGTCCTGTGGCTGCACTCACTCCTTCCCTCCCTCCAGGGCACCAGCCTCAACGTGCAACCCTGGCGTCTGTGTCAGGGCCATCAGGTTGGCACCTGCCTCCCCTGTTGGGCTGTGTACTCCGTGAGTGGCCCTGCACACTTCTGTGCCCACCCAGTGCACAGGTCCTCCTGGCCTCTCCCCTGCCACCATCAGGGCTACCATCAGCTCCCACAACTCTGCTCAGCCTGTCCTCTTGGGCCTCCACATGGAGCAGGTGATCCCCCCAACCCCCAGAGAGCCTGCTGGCTGCAGCTGGGTGAACCTGCCCCAACCCCTGTGCCCTCATCCCGCTCCGGAGCACACCTAGCTGCCTGTCCCTCCCCGCCTCACCCTCTCCACTGGCCCTTGTGTCCAGCGCCTGCTGGGGTGCCTGCCCTCCCCCTGGGTTCCTGGACAGGAAGGCAAGTCAGCATCAATTCAGAAGGGGAAGTGTGTGTGTTTGGGGAGCAGGGGGGGTGGTTCAGGGACAGGAAGTGGGAAATCAAACAATAGCAGCAAGACCTGGGGAGGGGGGACCCCAGGGGCCAAACCAGCTGAGGAGCCCAGGAAGTGCCTCTGAGTCCTGGGGGTGGGGGACAAGCGGTCCCGGGACCAACGACCAACCACCAACCAGCAAACTGAGGCAGAGGTAGCCCCAGCTCCAAGGACCCTCTGAGAGGAGTGGTGACCTCAAAACCCTGTCTGCTGCCCTGCCCCAGGTCAGGAGGAGCGGGTAGAGCCAGGTGACCAGGCCACAGTCATGCCTTGCCTGCGGTCCCTGGCCCTCCCTTGAATGTGTTTGTTCCTTCACTCAGCAAGTATTTCCTGAGAACCTATCTGTTAAAAAATCTGATCATGTCATCCCCTGCTCAGAACCCTCCCTGGTACCAGCAGAGAATCCAAATTCTCTACTTCCCCAGCTTCTTCACACCCTTCTGCCTCATACCTCAAGGCCTCTGCACTTTCTGTTCCTTCTGCCTGGAATGTTCTTCCCTGAGTGTCCCGTGACTGGTTCCTTCCCATCAGACGGGACTTTCTCAGAAGGTGCCTCTTGGGGGCTGCCTTCCCAGATCACCCAGGAGCCAGACACAGCCCACCCCCACTGGCCATCGTCTCGTACTACTTCCTCTTATTTCCTGGCGCTCTGCCACCTGAAATTCTCTTGGGTGAGGGAAGGTGTTTCCCTGGCTGCCGTCTCCTTCCCGCAGTGGACTCTGAGGCTGTAGGAGGGCACTGTCCATCTTGCCCACTGCTGAATCCCCAGCCCTATTACCAGCACACAGCAGGTGCTCAATAAATATCTGCTGACCGACCACTCCAAGCCCGGGGAGGCAGTAATCAGAGGAGACCTTGCTTGCATGGGGATCACGGTCAGCAGCCCCCACCCCGAATGCCCCCGAATCTTGAAGCCACCACGGGTCCCCTCAAGGGAGCTGGCAGCCTGCGTGGAAGGACAGACTGCAGGCTGAGCATGGGGGTAGGAGCCACGTGTGCAAGTGGGTCCCAGGCAGGCCTGGCCCAAGCCCACGGAGGGGCAGCTGTCCCTGCACGAGCTGTGGGGAGGGGAGGGGAGGGAAGATGCCACTGAGATGCAGATCCCAGAGGAACCTGAAGCATGAGGGCGGCCGGCCAGTTCCCTCTGAACCCTCTTGGCCTGGGCTGGACCCCACCCCTTGCTTCATCTCTTCAGGGCCTCCCTCCTACCCCTCCGAGCTAAGATGTTTCCTGCAAGTCAGCTGACCCCTCACCCTGATCCAGGAAAGCACACAGGGCAGGACGCGGAGGACCACAGCTTGGGCTGGGTAGACGCCCAGGATGGCACATGGGAAACCTGGACCCCCTTAGAACAATCACCAAAGCAGTTAACACTTATTCCATACCATCATCTACTCCTCCCAACAAGCCCGTGGCTAGCGCTGCTCACTGCTACCATCCAAGTTTCACAGGTGAGGAAACTAAGGCGTGGAGAGCTTGAATGGATCATCCAAGAGTGAACTTGGACAGAATAAAGGAGGATGGGACCCAGAAGTGGGGCCCAGCAGAATAAAGGGAGGGGTCTTCTAAGTGCAGAGGGTCAGGCCAGCCTGGGAGCCAGAGCACAGCCGAGGACTGTAGTCTCCGGGCACTCTAGGGGTGGGCGACGGGCCATGCTCCCCCCAACCTCTGTAGCATCTCCTTGCCAGCTCCCTCAGGACGAAAGCTGGCACTGGAAGCCCAAGGCCATCTGGATCCCCCAAACACACAGTGCCAACCCTCCACCCTCCTTCCACCCTCCCGCTCCCACCTCCCTCAGATGGATCTCAACAAGCTTTCTAAAGCCCAGCGTCTGCGGACACCACCCCTCTGACCTCTCCCCGTGCCCCACCCCCAACCACGATGGGTTCAAAGGACAGACCCTGCATCAGCCACCAGCAAGCTGAGCGCAGGCGTCCCCCACTGTCCTGCTGCCCTCGGAGGCCCACGGCTTAGGTCTTCCCCAATGTTGGGTTGGGTTCTAGTTACCCCTGCCTCTTCAGGGGACCCCAAAATGAAGCCTTAACCCCACTCCACAGGTCCCTTCTCACACTCAAGACCCAGTGGAGCCCAGCCAGCAGCAGAGCAGATTAGAGTCACCTCCTTTGACCCACACCATCCCTCCACTCACTATAATTAGCTGTTGTGACCCAGCCAAGCAAGCTGCTCCTAATGGCCTCAGTTTCTCAGCCTGCAAAATGGGAAAGAGGCCTTGACCTCAGCAGCCAGGTTGTGGGGAGGCTGAGAAGTGATAAGAAGTGTGAAAACAGAAGGGCTATGGGGCCACCGGGTTTGTGTGTCACCAGGTACCACACCTTCCTGGGTGTTACAGGGTCGCCCCTCACTCCCCCCGAAAGGACCTGCTCCCAGGAGGGTACAGGGCCTGGTCCAGGCCCAGTGCCACAAATAGCGCCTTCCTCAGGGACACGCTGCTGCTACCTTCTTCTCGCTTAACTGGGCACATAATGAGTGTCACCCAGCCCAGCTGGACACCAGCTTGACACCCCTCCCCCCCTGCAGCCTCCACCTTCTGGGGCTGCCCTGCTTACAGGGACGCACCACCTCCGCAGGGGTGAAGCCATGCCCCTTCCCCCAACAAAGCCATCAGGTATGCCAGCAAACCAGGCTCTGTCTCTTCGGGGGACCCCACTTCACAAACCGGAAACATTTCCTGCCCAGTTTCTGATTAGAAACATAGGACTGTGGGGAGGACGGGGCATGACAAGGGGGCAGGTGGCATATCTGCTCTGTGCCAGGCCTGAGCAGGCACTGGAACCCAAGGAAGCATCACACAGGCCCCTGCCCTCCAAAAGCCTGGGCAGAAACAGTGGGGATGCGGATGGGAGATTGACAATCACTGGGCCGTGCCCAGCTCTGCAGCCAGTGTCACCTCACCCTCCACCACCCACCCATTACACCACGGTCCTCCCGGAGAGGAGACTCGCACCAGCACCCACCAGGTTCCCCTGTGCAGAAGAGGAAGCTGGCACAGGCAGAACCCCAGGGACTGCCCCAAGGTCAGTGCGAGTCTCCTGTGCCCCCACCCTGTGAATCAGCCACTGGCTATTCTCACAGGCTGCCCTAGGCTCAGCTCACTTGCCAAACAACTTTGGTAATAACAGTAGACGCCTGGCAAAAGTTGGCAATAATTACTATGTGCCAGACACTGGGCTGAACACTTCACACAGATAATCTCCTTTCAGCATCAAAACAACCCTAGAGTTATTACTATGCCCGCTTTGCAGATAAAGAATCTGTGGCTCAGAGAAGTTAAACCAATTGCCCAAGGTCACACAGCCCGAAAGTAACTGCGCAGGGATTCAAACCCAGGCAGCCTGGATCCAGAATCCGGGATTTCAACTCTGACACTAAAATGTCATATTATTTGACCCCCGCCTCCCCGCTCCCTTGCCTGAGGGGACAAGGGGGACAAGTGAACCCCAGTCCGCCCCCACCCGAAGAGTCTGGGTGACTGGGGTGGACGGCTCTATGCTGGGGACACAGGGATGATAAGCGCCCTGGCAGCTCCCGCGTGCCAAGCGCGGGCGACGTGCAGGCGCAGTGCCAGGCGCGCTCCACGCACCCTCTCATTTAACCCTGCCAGGCGACTCCGTTGTCTCCCCGACTCTACCAAAGAGCTAAACGAGGCTGGAGGGTGGAGGGAGCTCGGCCCAGGGGGCGACAGCTGGAGGGGAAACGACAGCTGGAGAGGCAACTCCAGTCGGCTTGACTTGGCGCGGGGGAAGCTTAGGGGACGGAGGACTACGAGACTCAGTCATGCCCACGCCGCGCAGTCACCACCGACGGAACCGGGCACCAAACGCCGCGGCCCGTCCTCAGTTTCCCCACCTGCGAAATGGGCGCCAGACGTCGCCAGAACCCCCACCCCTAACCTCTGCAGCTCTCCTGACCACTCTGGAGGTTGCCAGGATCCCCGCCTTCTGTTATTTTTAAAAATCCCTAAGTGTCCGGAGGAGACCCGCGGCCAGCCTGGGGCGCAGAACTGCGGGCCGCGGTGAGGGGCATGCACTGGGTTGGGGGGACACCAGCTCCCTGCAAAGCCGCCGCCGCCCCCCGCCGCCTCCTTTGTCCCGATCTCGCCGCAGCGCAGCGGACAAAGAACCCCCGCCCGCGGGCGCGGCCCCCCGGAACAGACCCTCCCCCCGAAGCCGCGCCCCCGCCCGGGCTGCCCCTCCCCCGCCGCAGAGACCCCCCCCCTCCACCGCGCGCCCCCACCCCATCCGGGGCGGCCCCTTCCCCTCCTGCAGGCCCCCGCCGGGCCCGAGCGCCCGGCCCGCCCGACCCCTCTCACCATGGCGCCGCCCGCAGCCCGGCCCGATCTCCCCGATCGTCCCGCAGCCCCGCGGGCCCGGCTCCGCCCGCCCGCCCGCCCGCCCGCCAGCCAGCCGCCAGCCAGCCAGCCAGCCCGGTCCGGCCGCAGCGAACAGTCCGGACGCAGGAGCCCCTCTCTGCGGCGGGCGGGGTATCTCCGGCTCCGCTCCGGACGGGGGCAGGGCTCTCCTAGAACAGCCAATGGGAGTCCGCGCTGGGACGGCTGGGCGGAGCGGGCCGGGGCGGGGTCACGTGCGCACGGGGCGGGGGCTGAGCGCAGCTGGCAGAACTGGGGGCGGGGCGCGGGTTCGACCTCCTAGCGCGCCGATTGGGCGCGGGTGGGTGCGAGGCCCGGGCTGGGGGCCCTGCCTCCAACCCCCCAGAGGCTCTCCTTACTCCCGCCAGCTTACGGAGGGGAAAACTGAGGCGCACAGCAGGTAAGAGTGTGGCACGCTGCCCGGAAGCAGGGAGCGGCAGCATCCCGGGCAGGAGGAAAAGATAGGCAGGACCCCTAAGTTAAATGTCCTTCCGTGGGGAGGGAGCTGGTTGTTCACTCGTTTATTAGTTCATTAATTCATCATCCATCTGTCCATTCATTCAACATTTATGGAACACCGACCATGTGCCGGGTACACCAGTGGTCGCGGGTACAGCCACGAACAAGACAAATAAGGACTCTGCCCTCACAGAGCACTCATTTTGCTGCGGGCTGAAGCTGTGGGGAATTTGCAGCCTCTTGGCCTCTTATAATCATGGTTATTTAATTTAATAACCCCGCGATTAGGCCCTCACCAAGAGCTATGCCTTGTACTCAGCTCTCAACACATTTCATGGAGACAACGGGGAAAGGAAGAGCTACTCATTTTCCAGACGCTCCAAAGTGCTGAAGTACCACAGCCCGCATATAATGAAGACAGGATTGGAGGCCACGCCTGTCTGCCTGGGAGTTACTGCCGGTTAGTCCACTTGTCCACCCAAGAAGGCGGTCCAGCAGGAGGACACTCCCCCTTGTGGCCAGCCGGGGCCCATAAGAGGGGCAAGGGTGGGTACTTCAAGGCCTCTGTGGCCCAAGTTCCCTTTATCGCCACCTCTGGCTTGGAAGGCAGGAGGGGGGAGGTGGAGCCCCTCATCCTGGAAGCTGGGAGTCTTGTCTGGAAATGTCTTTGCCAGCCTCAAGCAGAGGCCTCTGGGAGAAGATGGAGGGCCCAGCTCTCAAGGCCATAGTCGCCACGCTGTCGCTGGTCTCTCCTTCCTGCTTCAAATGTGCCAAGCTGTTTCCCACCTCTGGGCCTTTGCCTGTGCTGTTTCCTTCAACTGAAACATTCTTCCACTCCTGTCTTTCAGAGGGCCCTCCCTGATCTCCACCTAGCGCGGTCCCTTTGTTATTTTCCCGCCTGTGCATTTCAAAATTGTACGTTTGCAAGAGTATGATGCGTGCCAGTCGAGTAAATGAATGAATGGGCAGACTGCAGACGTCCAGGTCTGGCCCTGCTGTGCCCTAGCCAAGAGGCCAGGCGCAGGATGGGAGCTGTAAGAGAGGAAAGTAAGAGGGGACAGAGAGGCAGAGGAGCTTCCAGCTCCAGGCCAGGTCCGCAGACACCAGAGTCAGACAGCCCAGAACAAGTCCTGCTCCTGAGTCTGGGCAGCGCGGCCCTCAAGGGCTCCTGCCTCATTAGCCACACCTGGGAGCCCAGGGTGAAAGGAAGCAGGTTCTTCCCACAGAGACAGTTTCAGCGGCCTCTGCGGTTCCAGCCTCAAGTAGCCAAAGACCTCATTAGTGGTGAGCACTTGGGAGGAGCAGGCTCGGAGCCCCAGAGCTAGGGTTGTCAAAGAAATGACAGGGGAAGCAGGGACACTTTGGGGGAACAGGTTCTGGGAGGAAAAAAGCAGAGGGGGAATGCAGCATAGCATAGAAGATGAGCGTCAGACTGCCCGGCTGCAGTGCAGCCTTTCCTGCTGGGTAGTTTTAGAAAAGCACCCTAATCTCTCTGTCCCTCAGTTTCATCATCTGAAAAATGTGGGTGACAGTAAGTTGACCTCACAGGGCAGTTGTGAGCACCACAAGTGCTTGTGCAGAGGAAACAATTTCACTCACTCTTAACATTAGTAATAGGGTTGAACAGTAATGGGGTTGAACCTGGGCTCCCCCATTTGGATCTTGGGCAAATCACTGCATTTCTGTGAGCCTCAGGCTCCTGGTCTTCACAGTGACAACCCATCTCTGGGCCCCTGAGAGGTGGGGGACTGGGAATAGCCCACCTGGGTCCAGCCATCCCTCTTGCCCAGAGTGAGTTGCTTCGATAATAATAACAATGAATGAATAATAATAGCAGCAAACCCTGTTCTAAACACTACGTATGCATAAATTCATTTTAATCCCCATTTTACAGATGGGGAAACTGAGGCACAGAGTGGCACATGTGCACAGAAATCACCTGGGGGTCTTGTTAAAATGTAGATACTTACTCAGTAGGTCGGGGCCCGAGCTTCTGCATTTCTCACAAGCTCCCAGGTGGTACTGATGGTTTGGGGACCACACTTTGAGCAGCAAGGGGCTAATGCATTTGCTAAAGGTCACAGGTGGTGCACAACAAGCCTGGATCTGAGCCCGCATAGTAGGCTGCCGAGTCCTGCACTTAACCGCCACCGTAAGTGCCTGCCCCAGCCCTAGCTTTCTCCCCTACAAAGAGGCAGGAAGTATAGTTCTCCTCCCCAAGCCCATTTCCTCTCTTGGGGCCCCTACCACCTCCCTCCATGGGTGACATCTGGCCCGTAGAATCTCCCTGCCCCCAGCATCCCAGGGGTCCTCCTGTAGATGACATGGAGGTTTTCAGATGCTCATTAGCCAGGAAGATAATTAAGGGCAAGGGCTGAGATCACCCTGGCTCCCTGGGGCTTGCCGGGGCCCAGCCGGGCCTGCCCTGTGCCAGGCTGGCCCTGTGCCTGCTTCCCTTGGGGCACTGGAGGGACTGGGACAAGGGAGGGGTTTGCTGGGGAGTAGAGAGGCCTCAGCCAGCCTCCGGGGAGACTCCAGTGGGGCCTCCTTGCCAAGCCCACAGCTCTTAGGGTTCCAGGCCTAAAAATGAAATGAAAACTGCTTGGCCAGAGGGAAGTTCCCCAAAGGGAGAGAAATGAGCCGCTGGTGAGTTCTGCAGGGCGAGGTTAGATGGGACACAGAGAGGGCGCCGTCTTGTTCTGAATCACACAGCAATCCTGGTCAAGGAGAGAAATCCTCCCTTGCTGGTGGGTGGCTTTAACATCTCTCTAGCATCTCTCTAGCACTGGCTTGGCTCCCTTATAACCAGGAGGGAGCAGACCTTGGGCTGACAGTCTTGGGCAATCCACAGTCTTGATCTAGAATTTAACAACGTGTTGTTTTTCTGCAGTTTATGTTACTTTCTATTTTGGGCGCAGATACTGCTTTTCCATTTTTGATAGTGACATACCCATTTCTTTTTATTTATTTATTTAAAAAAAATTTTTTTTTGGCCACTCCGCATGGCTTGCGGGATCTTAGTTCCCCTACTAGGGATTGAACCCAGAACCACAGCAGTGACAGCACCAAGTCCTAACCACTGGAGTGCCAGGGAGTTCCCCCCTATTCCTTTTTAATTCAGTCTATTCAGGGGAAAAAACTAAGTGAGTTAATTTAAAGCAAAATGTAACAGAAGTAACTGGAGATGGTACGGGGGTATGGAAGCAGTGAGTACAGTGGAAGACGGATGGCTGAAGTGGGGAACCTGCCAGAGGTGAACCCCACAGCCGCTCGCAGCCCAGTCCTCTTACTGCAGGACCAGACAGAGCCCCTCGCCGGGACGGAGATATCCCATGGGCTCCTGTGTTGACCGGAAGAGTCCAGCTGGGTTGTCATGGGTTGAGGGCGGCCGGGGTTGGCTCCGGTCTTCATTCCTGGAGTCTGTGTTATCAGCGTGATGAGGGGCAGACTTGGGGAGGGGGGAGGGCAGGGCTGTCCTGAGGTGCTCCCTGCCCTGAGCCTGCCCTGCATTCCCACGTGCGGTACCCACCCCCCGAAACACACACGTACACCTGGGCACTGGCGCCCCTTAATCACCCATTCACTGAATCATTCATTTATTCACTCACTTTTTCATTCATTCAGCCAATCTTTATGGAGGACCTCCTCTGTGCCAAGCACTGTGCTAGTTCCCGGGGAGACAGGCATGAATCAGATGGGAAACTCAGCTTTCACGGGGTTCACAGTCTCCTGGGGGAAGACAGATGATAAACACAGAACTGAGTACACTATAGGGGTTATCAGACAGTGTATGCGCTAGGGAAAAACGGAAAGACAGCAAGGTGAGAGGTGTGGTGGCAGGGGCTCTCTGAGAAGGTGTGCCCTGAACTGGGAGGATGCAGCCTCGTCCTGGCACCAGAGAATCTCACAGACGTGGAAGCAGGCAGACAGCGAGCTGAGCAGGGATCCCTTTTATTTTGATTTTAAGTAATTTTCTAATGAAACTTCAGGTGCAGAGAATGATGGACTGATCATAATCCAGATCATGGCGTATTCTCTTTGGTCTTACATGACCTGCTTTTCTTAAAAATTTCCACAGTTATTTTACTCACGTGATACACACCAAGTCACCCATTTATCAAAAGCCAGAACCCTAACAATGGCCCAAGTCCAGTCTTGAGGTTCCCCATCCCATCCCCCACCCTGTGGTCCCCATCACCTTGGGTCCTGTCTTCATTACTCCCTGCTTTCCTTCTTGTATGGTTTTATCCTCAGTGTGTGTGTGTATATATATGTATATATATAGGGTTTTTTTAAAATCTATTTATTTAGTTTTGGCTGCGTTGGGTCTTTGTTTCTGCGCGCAGGCTTTCTCTAGCAGTGGCAAACAGGGGCTACTCTTCGTTGCGGTGCATGGGCTTATTGCAGTGGCTTCTCTTGTCGCGGAGCCCGGGCCCTGGGCGCGCGGTCTCCAGTAGTTGTGGCGCAAGGACTCAGTAGTTGTGGCCCATGGGCTTAGTTGCTCTGAGGCATGTGGGATCTTCCCGGACCAGGGCTCGAACCCGTGTCCCCTGCATTGGCAGGCAGATTCTTAACCACTGCACCACCAAGGAAGTCCCTCAAAGTATATTTTTTTATGTTAGTTTCTTCTTACTAACTTTATTAAAAGGCTATATTAGCTTCCCCTGGCTGCTGGAAGCAATTCCCACAAACTGGATGGCTTAAAACAATAGAAATTTATTCTCTCACAGTTCTGGAGGCGAAAAGTTCAAAATCAAGGTGCTGGCAGAGCCATGTTCCCTCTGCAGGCTTTAGGGAAGGATCTGCTCCATGCTTCTCTCCTGGCTTCTGGTGGTTGCCAGCAATCCGTGGCAATGCTTGGCTTGTAGGTGCATCACTCCAGCCCCTGCCTCTGTCTTCACATGCCTTCTCCTCTATGTGTCATCACCTCTTCTTTTTTCCCCCAACATTATTGAGGAATAATTGCCAAATATGATTTAAAGTATACAGTGTGATACTTTGATATAATACACATTGCAGAATGACTACCCAGATCAATATAATTAACCTATTCGTCACTTCACATAGTTAACTCCTTGTGTGTGTGTGTGTGTGTGTGCACGCACACCTGTGTGCACGTGGTGAGAATGTTTAAGATCTACTCTCAGCAACTTTCAAGTATACAGTAATGAATTATTAATTATAGTCACCGCGCTGTACCTTAGATCCTCAGAACTTATTCTTGTAACTTATTCTTGTACCCTTTGACCTACATCTCCTCATTTCCCCCTTCCCCCAGCCCCTGGCAACCACCGTTCTATTTTCTGTTTCTATGAAATCAGCTTTCTCTCTTTCTTTCTCTTTCCTTCTATCTCTCTTTCCCTCTTTCTCTCTTTCTTCTCCACATATAAGTGATAACCATACAGTATTTGTCTTTCTCTGTCTGACTTATTTCACGTAACATCTGGTGGAATAATATTA